TTATATTATTATATTATTATGGAGACAACCAGTCTTTTGAAGCGCTGCTTCACATTTAGTTCAACCAGTGAAACCTTATAGCACAACACCGTAACCGGAATAAATGCATGATTTACAGGCTAGGTTAGGAGCAGCAACCGGGACAGCGGTTGTAATAAAACAAGCATCCACAGTCCTGTCTCATTAGCGTAATGACGCTCGATATGTTTACGGAGCTCCTGATTGGCTGTTGTGATTAAACCGGAAGTTTGGTGCTGTCTCTTTGTGGTCGGGAACATAAACAACCCATTTCTTGAGCAAGACGCTTTGCAAACCGAAGTTTGACACAGTTAGGAAGAGCTCATTGTTCATTTGACCAGTATACATTTTGGACGCTTCGTATTCTCAACAAGGTGAGGTTTGTCAAAGTTGGCTTTTTTTTTAAACTAGCTGCTATACTTTTCAGCATAAAGTAATTAAGATAGTTTATGATTACTAAACACGAAAATTAACTCTTCCATGTTTTTGTTAACATATTTAATAAAAAAAATCAGTTTTGAATAAAAATATAAGTTTTGTAAAGACTTTTTACTGCCCGTTTGGTTGTTTTATACAAAGATAGTCTTTTATACAAAGATGCCATGTACATTTTCGCCAACGACGTGTGTACAAAATGTTTGAGAAAAGAAAAGGTAACTGGTGGTCATAGCGAGACTAAGGGAATAGGTTTCTTCCTCTGAGAGTTTGTTAGCTAATTTCTGGGGGTTTTGTTTCTTTGCCAACTAAACTTCCAGTGGAAGTAGATCACACAAACTGAAACCACCTTTACTTCAAAGCTTGGATTCCCTCATGCCCACATTGGGAAGATGTGTGGTCTTATTGTAATAAGAATATTTATATATGTATATCAATGTTGTCTTGGGTTAATCTTCATGAGATTTTGATTTGGAAATTGTAAATAAGATAGGATAATTTTGTATTCACCCTTTGTTTATTACATGCCAAAAACTAGGAAAATAGGAACTGTGCAGAGATTCCACTTCTATAAAAAAAGGGTAAAGTTCCTGTTTGTCAAACTGGTCCATCCATGCCCTGACTATTAGTTATACTGTGTTTTATCTGTGCATCTGTGCATTAGAGAGACACTGTCTAGTGAAACTGTACTCTGAATCATTTTAACAGTTTAAGCACCATTTGTCCTTGAGTCACTACAGTGCCTGTGCAGTCAGCTCCTGATGCAGAATTCAATTAAAGTTATTTCTAAGGAGAATGCATAAATTGTTCTTAAAGAGTGTTTTGTAATTTTTCCTGTGTTTTTGTGCAATTCTAATGTTGCAGGAGTCAGATATTTGGATTTTATTTCATCTCCCCCAACTTGTTTTAGGTCAGTCATGAGACTCCACCTTCCTGTTCTGGTCTGCCTGGTAGCAGCTCTGTCCTCTGCTGCCATTCCGTCACCGCGGTAAGACAGATTTGAAATTATGAACATTGCTTTCTCGCGTCCATCTTCTTTCTTAGATTTGTGGTAGCTGTTGCCGTATAAAGGTTTGATTTTATCATTTAAAGTGAATAATTAGAAATATTGTTGTCTCTTTCAGTGATTTATGGACTAAACTGATCCTGACCCAGCAGTGGCCCAACACCTTCTGTGCTGTGAGTCTCAGTCCATCCTTATCTATTGATTGGTTTCATTAGAAGTCATCATTTATGCTGCAGAATCACAGAGTAATTTTCATCACTTTGTTTTACTGGTAAACATACAGTAACTACATGGTACCCAGATGGATCTTGAACGTAGATACCTGCCTTTAAAAAAAAAATCAAGTTTGGCCTTTCATGCATTTGAAATTGAAATTGGGAAGCATAAAGTTCAAGATAAGCTCTCATAACGGAGAAATTAAAACAAGAAAAACCAAACGGGTACAAAA